GAATTCATATTTAAACGTAGAAGAAGCAAAACAATTATATGTCAAGAAGAAAAAAGAGGACGAGCCAACGTGAAATTATATCTTAAGAAGGAGAGGGGGTTGAGACAATATAAAAACATATCTCAAGGAGAGTAAGCTTTGTCAAAATGACGGTATATCTTAAGAAGGACAGAAGGTCAAGTCAATTCGACATTATTTCTTTAGAAGGAGAGCAGGTCATGTCAGTTTTAATCTATATCTTATGAAAGAAAGGCAACTAAGTCAATATAAAAATATACCTGAAGGAGAGGAAGCCGAGTCAATATGAAGTTAGATAGGCCAAGTTAATATGATAATTTATCTTAAGATGGAGAAAGTCTATTTCAAGAAAGACGAGAGGCCAAGTCAATTTGATATTACTTCTGAAGAAAAAAAGGAAGTCAACAATATTTTTCTTATCTTTAGAGGAAGGAGAGGTCAAGTCAATTGGAATTTGTATCTTCAGAAACAGAGTAAGCCAATGTCAATGTGAAATTATATGTCAGGAAGAGGAGGCCAAGCCAGTATGGAATGTTCATATTTTAAAAAGAAGAGAATGCCGAGTCAAATTGAAATTACTTCTCTCTAGAATTAGACGAAGCCAATGCAATCGTTTTTTTACCAACTCTATTAGGTCTCTGATTTTTCTATTTTATATATCTCTATGATTGAATAAATGTACTCACTGTGAGATCCGTCTCCAAGCTATTACACGTGTCGCGTGCATCCTCGAACCACTTACTATAGGTGCTATAGTTTTACTACCGTGATGTTTAGTCTTTTCTGATAGCAATCAGGAAAAACAATGACCTGTTGATGACAGCAAATTTCTAATACTACAACGAAGTGTATTATTTATCGTGTCTTTTCCATGTTGGTAAATTGTGTAAGTCAAGTCACGTACTTATATTCACACATTCCTGTGTATATTCGCTGGTTCAGATACGATGGTAGGAAAACGGAAGACACACGCTTCCAGAGCAAGTTTCTATGAAGATAACACTAGGAAGCGCGTATAAAAAGAAAGACAAACAAGTGAATAACACCTATAATACGAGAGCTCGAAAACTTTAAAATCATTCTTACATTCATTTTATATTATTGCACCTCGGACTAGAATGCATTGATCTGATTGGACGTTGCTTGCCCCCTATAAATCTATAGGGGGCAGCTGAATATATAGGGGGCAATGGCCGCCATCCATTATCTCTGAAAGGCGTCACTTCGTAATTTCAAATCACAGATTGGCGATATTCACATTCTGTTCCGTGTCGGAATATTGGCTAGAGTGAATCCTAGAAGTTGCTATTATCTAGTACGAGTTGTTTCCCCTACACGAAGCACCTATTTGACTCGGATCAAAAATGGCTGGGCGGTTCGGGCAGACGACAGCTGCAGACAAGGAAAAAAAACGCCTGGCACTTAACGCTGATAAGACGTTAAAAGCTAATAAGTTGGCCGCTAAAGTGTTCAAAGATTATTTGGTGGAAAAGCAGCAAAACCCAGATTTTGAAGATTACGATGTAGTCCGACTGGACGAATGTCTTGGCCATTTTTACATGGATGCCAGGAAATGTGATGGGACGTATTATATATATATTTATGTGGGTCCTTGGTGCAATAAATTCGTTATGTAGTTTGCTAGTGACCCCCTACAGGGCTTCGCCCTCACCCCCTACCAATCTGACTGAACCCCTTCGCCCTCACCCCCTACCAATCTGACTGAACCCCTTTATTCCTGTAGGGGGTCACTAGCAAACTACATAACTAATAATATACCCAATAATCATTATGGATAAGGACACGTACAGGATCTGACGAGGTGATCAAAACCCAAAGACGAGGCTAAAATTGTTTGTGATCAAGGAGACCTCGAAACAGAGATCATAGGAGTCTAGTTTGAAGAAAATACTCTTAAAAATTGACCAGGGGAACTGTTTTCGGATATTAATAATATTTCAAACTGCAAAATATCCGTTAAAATCTTGTTATACGGTACCGCAAGAGAGCTCACATATAAATTCAGTGAACACAATAGTCGTTGATTCCATTCTATCGTTCCTATAGCGGGGTAGCGATACAGTATATTAATAGTTTATTATCGAATATTTTGATAAGTATTATGATATACATGGGTAAATAAATCAACAGATTATCGATAATCACATGGGCTTGGCCACTTTATCGATGATATTGTCTGAGGTTAAACCACAGCTCTAGATAAACAAAATATATTTTACTGAAGAAGACGCTTACCCTGCCGGAACAATTGACCTTATTGTGGTTCTGAAATAACCATACATGCATGAAAATTACTGAATTTATTGAATAATGGAGCATGTGCACGCTCTAGATTTTGACAGTTTTTGACCACGTTCAATTTTCCTTAGTCGCCTCATCTTCAAACTTTAGGTCTTTAGGGCACGAAATAGAAGAATCGTTTGGCTCTAATGTATACAACATACATGTCACAGATCCCAATATCTCGACATTCGAGTAAGATGTCGACAAATGACAAACTCGCAACATCCGGTTTCGAGAAAAGCTGAATGATGAAAATTATTGGAAATTTTTGGGTTGCCATAGTGATCTCACTGAGAAATATTGTTCGTTATGAAGCAAGCTGGATGTGCTTGAGTTCGTTAGTTTGTTTGATGATTCCGTTTATATATATATATATATATGATTCTCATAAGCGAATGTAACATTACTTATTTGGATTGACCAAGGTTTGTATGAAGTATGTCGTCGATAAAGCCGTAGATGTTTAAACTTCCGGAATAAGAGTAATGAAATCAGATCAAATCATACCAGGTCCATCGTCATGGTGAATGTCGAACCCAGGAGAATAGTTTACCTACCGTCATAGCATTTATCTGTAATGATGTGTAAATACCACAGGAAAATCTTAAATAACTATAGAACAATGCCATCACAATAGAACTTTATTCTGACATCAAACATGATTAACAATGTAACAACAGATTTAACTAGTTTACATTGGAACACCTAAATACAAATAATCAAAATAGACACGAAATAAAATGTTTACAATTGCAAGATTAAGAGAACAACTCAGTAAATTGATGTTCGTAAACAACCTCACAAATGTATCATCTTTTACAGATCTGTAACAGCCGAGAAAAATGTATCGGATCTTTTACAGATCTGTAACAGCCGAGAAATATGTATCGGATCTTTTACAGATCTGTAACAGTCGAGAAATATGTATCTGATCTTTTACAGATCTGTAACAGCTGAGAAATATGTATCTGATCTTTTACAGATCTGTAACAGCCGAGAAATATGTATCTGATCTTTTACAGATCTGTAACAGCCGAGAAATATGTATCTGATCTTTTACAGATCTGTAACAGCCGAGAAATATGTATCTGATCTTTTACAGATCTGTAACAGCCGAGAAATATGTATCGGATCTTTTACAGATCTGTAACAGCTGAGACATATGTATCTGATCTTTTACAGATCTGTAACAGCTGAGAAATATGTATCTGATCTTTTACAGATCTGTAACAGCCGAGAAATATGTATCGGATCTTTTACAGATCTGTAACAGCCGAGAAATATATATCTGATCTTTTACAGATCTGTAACAGCTGAGACATATGTATCTGATCTTTTACAGATCTGTAACAGCTGAGAAATATGTATCTGATCTTTTACAGATCTGTAACAGCTAAGAAATATGTATCTGATCTTTTACAGATCTGTAACAGCCGAGAAATATGTATCTGATCTTTTACAGATCTGTAACAGCTGAGAAATATGTATCTGATCTTTTACAGATCTGTAACAGCCGAGAAATATGTATCGGATCTTTTACAGATCTGTAACAGCCGAGAAATATATATCTGATCTTTTACAGATCTGTAACAGCTGAGACATATGTATCTGATCTTTTACAGATCTGTAACAGCTGAGACATATGTATCTGATCTTTTACAGATCTGTAACAGCTGAGAAATATGTATCTGATATTTACAGATCTGTAACAGCTGAGAAATATGTATCGGATCTTTTACAGATCTGTAACAGCTGAGACATATGTATCTGATCTTTTACAGATCTGTAAGTGTTGAGAAATATGTATCTGATCTTTTACAGATCTGTAAGTGCTGAGACATATGTATCTGATCTTTTACAGATCTGTAAGTGCTGAGAAATATTGTGAATCAGGTACATAATGACCCCAGTATATTCACAACGAAAATAAGAACGAGAAAAGTACAATAAAGCTTAACTAAGAGAATCACCCTTCTAACAAACAAAAAGCACTGATTCAACCTATTAATTGTGATATGCAATTTTATCCATGGAGTAATTATATTACAATAGAATTGTGTCGTGGAGAAACATTATTTCCTGGCAGTAAATTGATAACTCCAGAAAAGTGAGGAAGTAGGAATGTAATTTTCTCAGAATAAACATGATAAAGATTAAGTGATTTAAATCAACAAAAGTCAAAATTATGTCAACACCATAGTAACTAGTTTTGATCTTCATGATCAACATCAAAGATATCAGAAATCAATGACATCTACAAAAAGAAAGCTTACTTGGCGAAAACCTTAAACATACTCAAATATTTATCAATAAGCGCGCTGATAAATGGTGCATCCACAGTATATGTCATAAGACACGCTCTACAGTAACTGTAACTAGCAATATCAAAACTATCCGAAGTGTTTCAAAACGAGAAAGAAAATGTATGCACTTGTGTTTCATTATTGTGTAATAAATTGGCTCCATGTTTTCATCAAATAATTAATTCTAATCAAGGTATTATCTGTAATCAAATTAATGATGACTGTTCATATGTCTGATTTGAAAAAAATATCTATCATTTAATTTTAAGTGAAAGTGTGGGAAATCATAAAATACATTTGTGGTTTTTATCGTACAAATGTAAATCCCAAGAAAGACACTATGGTGATTGATACTTCCGTCCTACTTTGCACACTTTAGGGTGGCTTAGGTTTGCGCGGGCTACAGAATGTGAGTACTCGTGCGTGCTGTAGCATATTGTGGTCGTTCAAAGCATCGTCCGAAGGGAACACCGCTCCGCACAGTTCACACTTGACCACTTGACCACCATGCCGTAATCGCACGTGAGCTAGAAGCCGACACGGTTCTGTAAAGCGAGATGGACAATGGTTACAATAGATGAAATCCCCGTTATGTATTCGTTGGTGGCGCTGCATTCTGTATTTGACCTGGGTTTTATATTCACACTGGTCACACTCGTACATTTGTCCTGGTCTATATACTGTAGTACCACGTAACATTCCCCGGTTCTTCATTTTACCTCGTTTGGGACCTGGTTTTGCTCCCCTGAATTGTCTTCCTGAAAATAAGCGAAAGAAAATATTATGAAATATCTTCCTACTCAGACTTTCACTTTCACCAACCATTGAAGTACTCCATTGTGACAATGTCATCCAATATAACTTTTTATGATTGCTAATGTCAACAGATTTAGTTTTCTTTTGACACGCGGCTGCATGTACAATGACATCACTTAATTGCTTGGCATATTCATAATACATCATGGCTCCTTGTGAAGAATGTGATGCAATGTTAGGCGCTCTAGTTTTGTGCACACGACATACAACATGATGATATCTTCAGACCGCCTATTTCAATTACCAAGAATATAAAATTGGGAAATTTAAGAAATGATTACCGTTTAAGTATTGAGCTGACTGAGAAACAATTCAGATATCGGATAAAATCTAACTTAGTGGAGCTGTTCGCAAAACGCACCACCCAACAGCAACTTACAAATATGAAAAGATACTAATGGGACAACATATGAGAAGTAACGAACAGCTGTTTCTCGCTTCTCGTTAGTGATGTTAGAGACCTACAGCATGGAAACACTGAAGATGAAACAAGAAAATTAATATCGGCGTAAAAAATGTGAATATATTGATAGACAGGAACATTACTCACTAATTCAACCAATTTAGTAGTTTGTCAATATATTGGATCATGCAAAAAGAACATCAAGTACATGTACATCTGCTGAACAGCGAAAACAATCTTATGAACTCAAACGTGGTATAATAGACTATGGCAAATCCGAGAGATTTAAGTCCACCAGCTGAGTCTATCCCTACAATCATATTGTACTCGACACAAAACTCGATGGTACCTATAAAAGCAATTTTAGCATGGTATACTGACGTGTTTTAGCGATAATCGTATTAAAGACTTCATCACGCTGAAATGATATGACTGAGATAATTGTAATTTCTGTTTTTTGTATATATAGCATGATTGAGGATGCGCTAATAAGCGATTGCGTTAATTTACCAAAAAATCAAACATTAAACTTTGATCTAAATTCAATTTACAGTACAACATACTGAACTTGGAGTTGAAACATGTTGCAATATATAGCGAGAATTAATATTTTGCAAATGAAAAAAAGCAAATATTTCAGTATCTTAATAAACGGTGAAGGATAGAAGGAAGATTGAAGCCCTGAGAAGTGGCGATAGCCAGTAATCTGAACGTTTTCTATGATACATTGTTATTGTTGCTGGGTGATTCCAAGGGTATCAAATGCATTCTGAGTCGTACTAATAAAGTCTTCAGACTCTTTACATTGAGAACTTTCAAAACTGTCTTCCGCAAAAAGTTTTCAATATTAAAACTTCACCATAACTACCCTGTTATTTATGTCCTAGTAACCATATCAAAATTACTTGACACAGCTGAATAACTGCAGGTTACCAAGGTTTTATTTGTGATATCCAACTTTGATGTTTGGGGTATGGAATAATCGGCCCGTCTATGTGGATTTCCTGGGGTAAGATCACGCGCACGCTTTCATCCGAATCAATAAAAATACATGTCTATAAATTGATGTCAGGCAAACAACAAAACACAACCACAACATGACCTTGGCTACAGTGTTAACAGATCATTACATTAATTTACGTTTCATACGAGTTTTATCTACTCGAACATTTCTTTCCAGCTCACTTAAACAAACTTGAAATTAAAACTTGTTTATTTATAATATTATTATTATATTTATAATCGCACAGTTCACTATTGTTTACTACAAATAATAGCCACATTTCATTGTATGGATTCCTCTTCGTCCTGATTAAAAACCGACGAATACCCACGGGCAAATCCTCTAGAATTCTGTGGCATAGTCTTGACAGAATATTGAAATGATTTTACGTGTATGCAAATCTCCAAACCGACTACATCATATATCAAGGTGAACGTCCCAAGGCAAAGGCAAATATCCCAAATGAGATGTGAAAGCAAAGTAGAAGAGAAATTGGAATAGTGCAATATAATACAATGACATCAAATTGACACCTTTTTTTTATTACACGCTCGTATGTTACATGTAGTGAAATGACGTAGAGATTTTCCGGCTTTACTTCCTATTTCCTGGTTCAAATCTTGCCGATTAGTCATACATCCATGTTATTGGTAACAAATAACCACTGGTACAGGAAATAAACAGCAATAGCCAATATCATTGTGTTACTGATGAATTCCATGAAGTGTATGTAAACTTTCGTCACACATTTTTAGAAATGTCCCTCATATGGTGAAACCCGGAAAAAATACTTGACAATGCAAGTGACTACGTATCATAATAGGATGATGCAAAGAATTTTTAATGTCAAATATATAATTCAACTCCTTGTAGGAATAACAAAAATGTTCTTTAATGGCACTGAAAAATATATTTGATATGAGCTTTTTACTATCTTGGATTGCTATATTTTAGAGTGGTAATGATGTAAGTGTGTTTTTGAATGCAAGAGCATGTGCATGTTGAGACATCTTGTGGTCATTCAAAGCATCGTCAGAAGGGAAGACGGCCCCACACAAGTCACATTTGAGAACTTGACCACCATGTCGTGACCGTACATGAGCCAAAAGCCGACAAGGTTCTGTAAATCTTGAAGGACACGACGCACAGTAGAAGAAATCCTCGTTGTGAATCCTCTGATGACGTCTCATCCGGTATTTGAGCTGGGTTTTGTAGTCACAACGGTCACATTCGTACTTCGGTTTATCTATAGTTGCACAATGCGATATCCTTTGGTACTTTATTTTGCCTCGTCTTGCGGGACCCCTCTCTCCTACACCTGGAAATCAAATAAATTTTACACTACAAAACATTGAAATGTAATCAAGGATATCTTTAAAAGTTAAGTTATCAAAACACGGTCTCTGATATAATTTCTAATCAAAGAAAATTCACAGCAAATCACCTGGAAAAGCCACGAACCATCACCAGGACAAACAGTCTATTAACAATCGACCGTAAAGACCCACTAGTGGTGAATCAACTATATGTTAACAACAGTCGAGACCAGGTTCCATTGATGAAGTATTTGTACCGAAGTGAACGTCACTGTCATACCAAATCTAAATATCGATATGTTTACAAGGGAAAATCCTGTTGAAAAAGGTGGAGAAAAGAGCAAGAAGAAAATACCACCATAAACTACGTCATAATCCAAACTCAAGTTCAATCAAACTAAGGCAAAAACAAAAAGAATGATTTACACAGAGAATCCTGAAAAAATGAGAAATGGTATGCATCTTCTGTTCATCGAAAACAATGATATGTTAATCTTGGTCAATTAAAGCAAGTAATGTAACGTTTCTAAATGACAAGGTATACAACGACGGAACCATAAGGCAAACAACCAGGCAGATTTATATGTTATATACTAAAGCGTAAAATGAACATGTCTAGCAAATATTGTATACGCCTCTTAAGTTCTGGTGTAAATTAAGATTTTAACACGAGGTGAATGTAAAAGTAAACAGGCCTCGAAACTAAAAAACTATCCTTTGTACTTTAATTTCCTGCTTCCGTTAAGATTTTTAAACACTTATATAACTTCCATTTAGATAATCGAGATTGCTGCCAAATACTTGCTTATCAAAACATCGACACTGTTTGCTAAACCGTACATTAATGAACAATATATCTGTGACGGATTATCAAGCAGAAAAAACATTTAAAGTCGAGAAAATGCAATGAAATTGAAAATTTATGCAGAATCTTGTTACAATGGGCCCAATTATAAGTTACTAAATAAAATGATGACTTAACCTTAATTAAAATAATTATGTCACGAAACATCGAAGTTTAATTACTTAAAAGTGCCATTTTGATATGGGTACAGATGTCACTCATTTGCGAAAAATAACTGCTATGTCAAAGCAAACGGACGCATAAAAACAAAAACCATATTATAACGGTACTGTCATTCTGGAAAGCCGAGAAAAGGAAAATGTTTTCAAAATATTCAATTCTTTTTTAGCATTAAGCATCGTTAGAAGCTATCAATATCAAGCAGAAGGTCATCGTGCTTAAATACAATAAACTAGAACGATTTGATATCCAAGACCGTGAACTTAATGCAAAATATATTTCGACTGCATATTTTGGAAAACCGATAAACCAAACGGAGGACTACTGTGTTTGTCAAATGGATTTTTTTGGTGTTTTATCGGAAATGCCAGTGTACATGGTTTTGTTACTAATGTAACTGGTATTGTTTTGACATGTTAATTTTTTAAAATTTTTCTGGGAAGAGGAATGGATTGCCTACATCAACAAAACAACTCATTCCAAGTGTCTTATCGATTGCGGTAATCAAACTGTGAATTGTAACAAACAAAAGGCTTTAACTCATCTCGACAAAATCATTTAACAACTTTATTCTATTTGATCGATGGTGGTACACAACATTACGCGAGTTCAGGTTACTCTTTTTCTAGAAAGGTAAAACCTGGCACGAGAGTTGCATGAACAATCATATGTGGGAATTTGTTCCTATTGTATATCTTATATGTCTAAGTACTATGTTTGAATCAGTACTTGGTATTAGTTTTATCACATTTTTGCTGAAATTCGGTAATTTCTAAAAGATAAAGTGATTTATATGGCAATTTCATGGGTAGCAAATGTTCGAAACGTTCCAGCAATTTTGTCTTCCTTTTTTCGCCGTTTGGTTTTCCAAGTACCAAAACGTCTATGATGTCAAAATAAGGCACCGCTTTCCATATCTTGTCCATGCCAGAAAGTTATTGTGCAAATCTGTATCATGATTATACATAAAATGAAAAGCCTGGATTTCAAACTTTATTGCCGTGATAAAAAAATTAATGACAGTGTGTGGATTGTCCTTCAGATGACTTGCAGCAGCCCTGGCATCACCAAAAACTCAGATGCAAGAATCTGGTTTACTAAGATCCGCAATTCAACTTTGAAACAATATTGAAACCCGTTATTTGAGCACCACATGATCTACGAACAGATATCACTGTATTTCCTGTATTTCAGGATTTGTGGAATGTGTCGATGTGGTGCTGCAGATTTCCGAGTTTCACAAATGATCTGTCCTTGCAGAAGGTGCACGTGAAAGTCTTCTTGGGGTGTTGCTGAGCTCGATGATTGGACAAAGAATGTTTGGAAGGAAATAATTTCCCGCACACTGGACATGCAACAGATATTCCTTCATGTCGAGATAGGCGATGGGCTCGGAGTTCGCACGGTTCCGTGAACTTTGCTGAACACAAGTCACACTTAAGGTAATCTCCACTGTGAATTCTCTGATGACGCGTCATCCTGTACTTCACGTTGGTTGTGTACGTGCATCTGTCACACTGGAAAACGTTAGGTGTTCCGGTATATGGCATTCTGGGAAACACGGGGTCCGTTTTCTTGTCTTGCCCATCTACGACTTGGCGGCAATAGTCGTAGAACTGGCCTGGAATATAAAAATTTCAGTCAACTTCTGTATCCGAAGACATTCGTACACAACGAAGCTAATGAAGAGGTGCGTACACAACAAAGCTAACGAATACATTCGTACATAACGAAGCTAACAAAAACATTCGTAAACAACGAAGTTAACAAAGACATTCGTACACAACAATGTTAACAAAGACATTCAAACACAACAAAGCTAACAAAGACATTCGTACACAACAAAGCTAACAAAGTCATTCAAACACAAGGAAGCTGACAGAGACATTCGTACACAACAAAGCTAAAGAAGACATTCGTACACAACGAAGCTAACAAAGACATTCGTACACAACGAAGCTAACAAAGACATCCAAACACGACGAAGTTAACAAAGACATTCAAACACGACGACATTAACAAAGACATTCAAACACAACGAAGTTAACAAAGACATTCAAACACAACGAAGCTGACAAAGACATTCAAACACAACGAAGCTACGAAGACATTCGTACACAACAAAGCTAACAAAGTCATTCAAACACAACGAAGCTGACAGACATTCGAACACAACGAAGTTAACAAAGACATTCAAACACAACGAAGTTAACAAAGACATTCAAACACAACGAAGTTAACAAAGACATTCAAACACAACGAAGTTAACAAAGACATTCAAACACAACGAAGCTAACAAAGACATTCTACACAACAAAGCTAAGTTAATAAAGACATTCGAACACAACGAAGTTAACAAAGACATTCTAACACAACGAAGTTAATAAAGACATTCAAACACAACGAAGTTAACAAAGACATTCTAACACAACGAAGCTGACAAAGACATTCTAACACAACGAAGCTACGAAGACATTCGAACACAACGAAGTTAATAAAGACATTCAAACACAACGAAGTTAATAAAGACATTCTAACACAACGAAGTTAACAAAGACATTCTAACACAACGAAGCTGACAAAGACATCCAAACACAACGAAGTTAATAAAGACATTCAAACACAACGAAGTTAACAAAGACATTCAAACACAACGAAGCTAACAAAAACATTCCTACACAATGAGGCAAAAGAAAATACTTGATACGTAAAGAAGCTAACCTGAAGACAAGACGACGCCTATGTTACATTGTCTAAAATCAACTAAGTTAGACACCTTTTGATTTATTCCACAAATTCTTACATCAATACATTTTGAATGAAGATTTTTGGTGATCCCAAATTTACACAGAAAATGTCGAAAACAGCATTTAGTATCTGGATTCTGTAACAAGTTAAGCTTTAGTATGTTAAATTGTTCAAGCTAAACATCTCATAAAGCAAAATGATGTCAAATTTATTCAAACTTATCGTAAAGGAATCTTGTTTCCGCTCATGTCTATCAAATAATAATATTTACTTTTCAATGCATTACCTTCATACAGGAAAATGACATTTGATCCGATGAAGAAGTGGCACGTGTGAGTATCATTTACGATGTTTATTTTCATTAGTAAAGTAGGACATTGAATTGGCGATGGAACAGATTAACATAAGTTTACAACTTCACAGTCACCTTTGTCAGTTACAAATACTGATTTAGGATGTGTGAATATTATCTAAATCTGATTAAGATTATCGATACGACACTTTAACGAAATATTTTAATGAAGTCATCACTAATTTGCTGCTGAGGAGTACCTGGTGTCATTTTTGTCAGCCAATTTAAGTAAATGGCTTAAGATCAACGTGATACAAAGCAAGTTTGAAACTTCTGACCGTAGGAGCAGATCTAAAATTATCAACAGCAACACTTTTCCATTAGATTGGTATCTTTTATTTTCTAAAGATGATACAATGTACGAAGATCCATGCAAAAGGCTTTGTTCTTTTCCTAAGGACAGAAGAAGACATAAATCTGCTGACTTTCTTCTGTACCATGAACATAGTTCACTTACTAAATGAATTTTATCATCAGCATATCAAAATGAATATTCTGAAAAAGTACTCCCAACAAACTACTAAAAAAGCTTGACAAACCATGATTAAAGAATCAGCAGTAGAGAAACTAACATCTGCTTCATGGTAATGTGTTGTTTAAGGTACATGTAGAGTGATGATAACAAATCCTCTTTGGCACTTGCCCATTTACTTATTCTGACACAGTAAAGTTACTATAATTTGGAAGTGTTGTTACAATGTCAGTTATTCCAAATACATATTTGAATCCCTTCCAAAGAAAATGTTTTTATATTGGAAGAAGAATCGGAACAGGAGAATAAAAATATATAAAGCCTCAGTTTCATTATCAGTGGAATCATAGCTCTGCTGAGCATGTCCTGTCATTACAGATAAAACGTCAATAATACATATATCCAGTCGCTTTCAGTTGCAGTTCACAGGGTATGACAAATTTCACCTTGAATATGGTAGTTTAATCTAACACAATGAAGAAATCCATCAATTTTTCACTTCTTTCTCCATTTTCTATAAAGCACTCGTCAGTTTTGGCAAATGTGATAGTCTTTGAACAGAGGAGATCAAGGTTTCCTGTTGGTTGTGGAAACATAGCGTTTCGCTCTTGAGAATCCTGTTTTTGGAGGTGTCCACATTTAGAATGACGATCACAGTTGAATGGTTGAACTTACGTGAAATTCATATGTTGGACCATTTCAACATTGTGGTAAGACTTCAAGTGAATAACAAGTTTACCCATGGTCACAAATGACTTATCACAATGATTACAGCGGTAAAATTTGTTCGGGTGCATGCTGGAGCGGTGATGCGACAGTGCATATTTGGAGGCAAACTCCCGACCACACAATTCACATTTGACAGTGATGCCTTCGTGTCGAGACTGTCGATGAGCACGTAGTTCACACAGCTCCGTGAACTTGTTGTTACATAGGTCACATTTGAAGTAGTCTCCCTTGTGTATCCGTTGATGGCGTTTAATCCTGTACTTGTGTTCGGTTGTATAGTTGCATTGGTCACATTTGAACCTTGCCTCTGTCCTCCACAACCTCTTTCCCTTCAAATGATTCTTGTCCAATATCAAGTTAAGGTTTGGGTCGTTAAATGGTTCTGAAACACCAGACAATGCAGTTCTTCAATACATGTAAAATATTCCTCATGTTGAACACAGTTGATGAATTTTCTTCATTTTCTTCAACACTTCACACTGAACATTTTCTCCCCAAACTGAAACCTTTGTCCATACAGGATTTTATCCTTATACTGATGCACAACTCGGGTTAAAACTAAAACCAGTTTAATCTGAATAATTATATAAAATACAGTGTATTTCTGATCTCAAATTTGGAGACTTGATTAACATGGAATGATTTTGTCTACATATACATATTATAGAATATCATCTAAAGAATGTTCTTTGATAAAGAAAATAGACATATGGTAAGTGTGAAATATGTTTATTAAGAACAGTATCGGAGCTACATTTGGATTTACAATATTTATCACTTTATACATTACATGTATAATCGTAACAATAGTAGAGTCTGGGACTGTCCATAACATCAAAATGGATCTAGAGAACACAAATGTACTTACAATAATGCTATCTGACAGAAACTATATACAAAATTGCACGTAACACATAATTCACCTTCACACATCTTAAATCATCCTGACTTCTTTACATGTATAACATAAATGAACTGTTCCCAATAACATATTTCACTAAGCACTGCTAGAGAAATGTGCTGCCAGGTTTTCATACAATAAAATCCTCATAGCCATATAATAGCCACTATATAGAGAATACAAGGTCAGTGTCTTAAAATATAAACAGTATTCTGGTGAGGGTGACAAACTTCTGGTGAGCCACTTTTGTCTTTCTCTCCCAAGCAGAAAAATGCAGCTTATATTCCGAGACACTGACCATGTATTCATTCTATTTATCCTACAACATTGATCACAAATATGACCATCAAAATTTGATGTTGACGGCATGCTGAATTTTGGTTGATGTACCGCAAAATAATTGTTTTGCACAGAAATATAGTTCCACGTAATTTTAGACAAAATTTTCAAAGTAAATTCAGACAGTAATTCTGTTGAATTCATACACGTGCTAAAATGCAACTGTTTTCCGTCACTGTCAAATACAGCAAAAAATTATGTGGCAGGTGTATTCTGACAATGGCAATGCCAATTAAAAAGATAAAAAAAAATTACTTGAAAAGGGAGAAAAATATTTACATATACAGAAATATACACAGACATTCCTATTCTATAGGAATTTCAACAATTATAAGAATTCACAGATGTATGTTTCCAAGTTACACTTTGATTTAAAAAAAGAAGACAATTTTCAATAGAAACTGACAAGAAGCAACTTTGTTGCACAACTAACAGTGACTATATTTTATTACTGTACGCTTATGCCTCACTGTCGTAGTTGAAAATATTGTAGTGATAATATATCTACTGGCAATACTGTTTAGTTACATGTACCTGTAGTAACATCCTTTCTATGTTAACAACAATGTTTTACTATTAACTAACGATATTTTACTACTTTACTACTGCATTAAGAAACATTGTTTCATAACCCTACTTGTTAACTTTTGTATACAAAAACAATGTTTTACTATTTAGCACTGATGTGTCACTATTAGTAACATTGTTTATGTTATAGCCTGTTTAACAACTGTTCATGTTTATTATCTAGTAGAAAACTTGTTTTCTAAAACATTTGGTGACTACTTCAAAATAAAAATAATATGTTCAATCAGCAAATCAACAGAAAGCTTTACAGAAGGAGGACATTACTGACTGTATATCTAATGTAAAACAATCCCGGTAAGTATAGACTCTGATACCAATGTCACCTCACAAATTATAGTCTTAGAACTAAAATAAGTGTACTAACATCAGTACTTAAAATCTTGTGTGTTTGTATAAGAGACTAAAATATCAAATGGAAAAAAAAGCAGTTTTGGAAAATGTTATTACCAACTTTGTATTTTGGGAATTTCACCTTTAAATGAGTATTAACCTGATAGAATCCTGTCATTATGTTGTAATACCAACTAAATCTGCACTAGATCTCTGGAGATTACTTTGTAGTAAGGGTTCATATCTGCACTGATGGACACATAGACATTACAATATACCACAAGATACTCCAATCTATTTAACACATAATTAGACACAGAAATAATCAACAAAATTTATATATAGTTCCCAATAACATTTTAAAAATATAACATTAAGGACAAAAATCCCAAAATGTTTATCATATTGAAAATAAACATAGAAAATAGGGAGACAACATCATTTTTACGAAAGAGAACCAACATTATTAAGGAGTCCATATGTTAGCCTGAAGTTCTAATATGCATAAGTTATCATAAACAATTATTATAACACATTGATCACAATGTACACATTTCATTGACAATGTATAAATAATGTAATCATGTGTACACTGAACTCTATACTTGATGAAACAAGATATGAATTTAATTGATTTCATTGAAGTACTTTATTTAAATCATTCCATTTTAGAAAGAATAAAAATATAATGTATCTATAAGACCTATTCAATTGACAAGCATTAGAAATTCATTATAAAAATTTGAAGGCAATATTTATACATAAAATGGATTGAACTGATTCTTTACAAAATTATACGACACTGAGCATAAAAAGGTAGTGATTATTATGCTAAAAAAATCATTCATGATAAAATCCTAAATATGCAATTATTTCACTATTTCCTTAATATGCTTCAGATTATTTCTTTTCATAGTAAAAGCTAATGTACAAAATCCTTTATGTCTTTCTTACTTCAATTTATCACAAAATTCTTTAATGATAAATTCATTACCAGGTACAGATCAATGTAAAGAATACTGTTCGAAGTAAATAAAAAAAAAATATACAAATGTTTCTCTAAAAATCCAAGTTAAAATTTAAAATACATGTAAATATTGCACAGAAAAATTAGGTAATAGTCTATACATTAATCAAATTGGTTCCAGAATATCAAAGACATTGTTGTCTTTCCTGGGATGACTGCATCCGATTTTTTCCAATATCTTTGATATATCCTTTGTAAAATCTTGATTTCTGACTGTTGATAGAAAAGGATGCAGACATCAGCTATTTGATGAAGCTTTAAGATGATGGTCTATCCTTTTGGTTACAAACACACTCTGAATTCCACGGATCTTTGTAACATTATCAAAACTACTGAATTCACTTGCCACCCAGATCAGTGTTAACCTGCCCCACTGTTGAAATGCTGTGGAGTGGTTGTAGTTTGGATAGGTGGTAGGTCCTTGTGTGTTATCTGTACATGTTTTCTCAGCTTGCAGTTTTCGTTGAATCTTGCTCCACAGAGACTACATACAAAATACTGTTGGTTGTGCATTATCATGTGTCTCTTCAGACTGTAGTGTCGGTCTGTTACAAAGTCACACTCGGGACAGAAGTGACGTTTTTTTGATTTAGGAGAGTTTTCCTGGAAGCTGAGGTCTAGCTGGTGGCTGGTGTTATACATCTGATTGATACTTTCTTTAATGAGGAATGTCTCAGGTGTGCAAGTCTTCATAAACATAACGTCTGTAATCAATAAAAATAACTTTAAAGAAAACGTAGTTATCAATTTCCACATTTTTAATGAAGATTCTAGTAGATTGTTTTGTAATTTGGTACCAAGCTGACAACTTATGTCTTCTATCTATCATCAGAGGGGTACTCATTTTTTTACCACAATACCTTGTGTTATTTCACTCTGAGACCATTGTGTTAACAAGCTGTCAGTGGGATAAATTTATGATATATACCACTTTTGGTATATGACCTTCCAGCCTTTTTGATTGGTTGATGCTTCATGCACAAACTGATATTTAAGTGCACAATAAGCAGTTCACAATGGTTTGTGAAGTAATGTGATGTGGATTGCCAACAATTTATTGCTTTAAAGGAAGTAAACCTGACTGATGTTAACAAAACAGAGATTGGTACAGAACAGGTCTATTCAATTAAAAAATAGCTTTTTCATTGTGGTAGACAGGTTACACCAACACATGGTTGGAACATATTTCTTTTTCTTTCATTAATTATCTTTTTTTAAAGTTACAAAACAAACACAAAGTTTGTTAAATCAACCTCCAAGAGAATTTCAATATTGATCTTAAGCATGATATAAATAATTCATTAAGTATAAGTATGAAAAGTGGTGTTTCCAATGTAATCATTTTGTTATCAGAGTTTTTATACTCCTGCCACACTCAACTGGCAAGGGATAGCTTAGTTAAGCTCTCTTCCAAAATCTGGGCTTCTTTTATTTTTTCATTTGAGATTTGCTGATCTCTTGGTTTGTAGCAAATTTCCCTGTATTGCCTTCTCCAATATTTTATGTATATTCCAAGACATCTGATCTTGAACTATACCCCTGGCCTTTCAGACTACAATCACATCCCTGGACTATCACACCTCCAGTTTTTCAGACTAAAACAACACTCCTTGCCTATCTAACTAGAACCACATCCTTGGCCTATCTGACAAGAACCACACCCCTAGCCATTGTGACTAGAACCACGTCCCTGGTCTATCAGAGTAGAACCACATCCCTGGCCTGACTAGAACCACATCCCTAGGCTATCCGACTAGACCTACATCCCTAGCCTATCTGTCTAGAACCACATCCCTGGCCTGACTAGAACCACATCCCTTGCCTATCCGAATAGAACCACATCCCTTGCCTATCCGACTAGAACAACATTCCTAGCCTACCTGTCTAGAACCACATCCCTGGCCTGACTAGAACCACATCCCTAGGCTATCCGACTAGACCTACATCCCTAGCCTATCTGTCTAGAACCACATTCCTGGCCTGACTAGAACCACATCCCTTGCCTATCCGACTAGACCTCCATCCCTGGCCTGACTAGAACCACATCCCTGGCCTGACTAGAACCACATCCCTTGCCTATCCGACTAGAACCACATCCCTCGCCTATTCGACTAGACCTACATCCCTGGCCTATATGACAAGAGCCATAACCCTAGCCTACCTGACTTCCATCACATCCCTTCCCTATGTGAATAGAAACATACTCTCAGCCTTTCTGACACAAATCACATCCCTAGCCTTAGAAAAACTTTTAATGTACCTGGATCCAATTGCTGAGATGGTTGGAAGAAATTGGAGAGATGTTATCATAGGGAAAGGAATGATGATTCTACTATGAAATATAGAAAAAACGGACAGTTTTCCAGGAATAAGAATTAAAATCCAATGGAAGACAATAAATATCAAACAGTTTTTAAACATTCTTCACCAAATTCTAATGATACTGTGAATTGAAATTGATAAATTGGAAGAGGAAAGAAACTAAAACAATCTTAAAATTATATACAGGTATGCTTCACCATATGGCCATTTCTGCCATTCTCAGCCTCCATAGACTGTCAAGCCAAGTATTGCTATACCATAACAGTAGAGTGAAACAAAGCAAAGCAATTCTAGTAGATATCAATATTTTCCATATGCAAGGCTCCTTTACAATTACGAGCCATATTGTGGAGTCCCAAGCTGAGGAATGCAAGCCTCACATGCCAAGAGTTATATATTTGCATTGTCCTTGGTACATGTATAAGTATGTGAAGCATGATAATTTAGATTTACAGATAACTTGTGTATGCAAAATGTTATGATATAAATATGTTGGATGCAGCACTGGCAATAAGTCGTGTTTCTAATGAGTAATGATATTACCACTTACAACCATAAAGGTGTGTATAAGGAAAACGAGAAGAAAGTGGTCACATGATAGTTTTTTATTGTAGACAGAGGCAGTTAGCCTTCTCTGTGGTCAGGAAAAGCACAGGTGACATGTACTGTAGCTTTAATGAAACCAAGCAACATACTAATAGGGAACACAATAAAAACCATCAAGGTGACCTTATAAATATACCAGTAGTTAACAAGTACATCACATAATAATGTGAAACAATACATAGCCTATCTTTATGAATGTATCGGTAGTTGTCACAAACTACATCAAACAACATGTAGCCTAGCTTAAAGAGCAGCATCTGTCACATCTGCTAAGTAAATATATTTAGTTCACTATACAGCATACTGGTGAAGTAAAGATAACAAAAGGATATTAAATGTGTAAAATTCCTTGTCTATAAGATACACTACCATATGTATCAGTCAATATGCCCATGGCTGTTAATAAGCCCACCTAAAATTAGTTTACTATTCATTGTATCTGATGACAAATACCTCTTCATTCAGCTTCCCTCTGATTTTGAAGTAATGTTGGCCACCAGGAACTATCACAGAATAATTAAGGTATAACAACTCTACTCATGTTTAAGTTTTTTAAGTTGATCACCAAACTATAAAACAATCATTTTCTCTAAGATTGTTGCTTTGAGTTTAAAAGTTATCCTCAACTATTATCTTTTGACAATCATGGAATTGGCCAATAAACCTAGATCACAGTGCTCTCAACAGTGTTATTATGAAATAGGCTATAAAAAACTTTGTACAGGCAGTCATACATTAAAACAAAAAACAATGTGCACAATTTAAGGAATCACAGATATTTAGGTGACCAGCATCATCTGTACTGTCACTTTTATCTTAATATAGATCAGTATTAAAGTGGATGTACCACTATGGATCAAATTAACACACTCACATTCTTGTGAGCGTCAGATAGGAAGCCATGTTTTTTTCTCTATTGCTCACAGAGACAGTCCTAAAGTAACAGTACACTGTGATATCTACCGCTGACAGAAATTGAATTTAAGGATGTACTTGTGTCATAGAAGTAGTCAGAGAGTAAATTAAGTACACACATTTCCCAATGATGATTCATCGTAAAAAGTGTATCTTCTGACCTGGTGCAATTAATCATAAATACCATTTTGTATCAACAGAAACAACATAAGTATATGTCAGTGCAAGGCTACATGATTAACTCCTTCCTTATCAGAGGATAATACACCATATACTTATCGCCAAGCTGGTAGAATTCCCATATTTTTTTTTAGTCCAGAGATGTACCAAACTAATACTGAGTAAGAGATAAAGACTAAGATGTATGAAAAATGAACACATGTTTATCGTTTCTCTTGTCAATCTCCAGGAATTCAGTTTACGATTGTTGAATATTAAAAGATAAAGTTTAAAAATGAGAAAAGATGGTGATGTTCATCCAATGTAATTGCCATAGTGACATTATGAAAAAAAGAATATCACTGAAAACAGTAATGCAAACTGAATATTCCATCGATGTATATGTTGTAAGATGAAATCATACCCAATACTTACTAACATACAATTTAAAGTGCAAATACTCAGTAATATCCTAATTGTAAATCAGGATTATTTCAAGAAATATTTCCAATGTTCTCCAATAAATCCTTGTGTGGAAACAAATGTGAATCAACAATACAATGAGGACAGATTCAATCAAGGAGAAACAAGTCATTAAAGAATGATATAACTGAAATTTATGTATGACCTATATTAACCAGATTGGTGAAGAACTATTTTTGTTCACAAAAGTCAGTGTGAATTCATTAATCTAACAAGTTCTTATACTGATACAGATCTTATGCAGAAAAATAGAAATATTTTTTGTTTCCATTTATATAAATGCACTAAAAGTCAACCATGACAATCTGAAGTCTTTTCAGATGATTTTCCAATGGTTAGTGAAACAATTTCAAAACATGCAGCATTGGATACATGGTTTAATAATATAATTTTCTATTAACAAAAAGGGAATTTGTACACACAGCCTCCTTGTTTAATATCCTAATAATGGTCATTCGATGGTATTCAACAACTACTACAGTGTTATAACATTGCAGCCAGCAGTGTGGCAAGGGTGAATGTAGAGATGTTACCATGGTTACAGTCAATCATTGAACCACAAACTTTTGTGTAAAAAAGAGCAAAACCATTGGGTAAAAACCATGCTAACGAACAGGTTAATAAAACATGTTTAAATATGACACTAACCTATGCAACAAATGAAGTTGAAGGCTTTAAGAAAACACCAATACCATCCAATATGTTCATAGTGACTTTCCTAAGTCAGTGATGTACATGCAGTATGTTTTCTAAGTCTCCATCTGATTCAAGCTTGATGCATTGCAGTTCCACATTATCTGGTGGTGATTGTCCTGTCCTACACTTTCTCTGGCCCTCTGGTCTTTGATAAATGGACTGCGGAAGATCTGACTGGTGACCAGTGATGGACATGATCTGAGCTGCATCAAACATGTTTTTTGAGAGTATGGCACTGCCAGTGGCTCTGATGGAATAGTTGGTATACACACATGAAAGCTTACAGGCTTTACTGAGCTCTGACATAAAAACTGCAAGTTTCTTCTCTCCAACTGGGCTGTTGTAATACCAAACACTATCTGCTGAACTTTCCCTATTCGGTCTTTGCCACAACCTTTCACACTGCGGGTTCAATTTGCAAATGTAAGACTCGAACGATGCCACAGGACAAAATGGTGAGCCAGGTGATTCTGGCATATAGTTACATGATAACACATCTTTGTCATGACTGTGTAGATTCTTAAACATTTCGTCAGCTTTTCTCACATACCTCAAACCTGTCTCAAAGTCTGTCACAATCTCAAATGTTGACTTTGTCATCTTGTGCATGTTTTCTGTGCTTCGTCTACTGAAATACAAACGAATGTCAAACTGGACCTTGTTGTAAAGACCGACAGGCGTGTTGACATTAAGATGCTGAGATGAATAAATTGTGTGCCTATCAGCCTTTGTAATAACTGGATAATGTTCCGTCTCGCCTTTCCCCATACGCTTCAATTCATTCATGACTGCTTTGAAATTGACGTTTGCTTCAGAAAATTCACAATCTTTGATTATGTCATATTGCTTGTTGAAAGGGGGGCTTCGTAAGTACCTGTTAAGGGAGTATCGGAATTGCTCCAGTGAAGAGGTTTTGTAGTGAGTTCCATCATGTTTACGAGCATCCATGTAGAAATGTCCTAGATGTTTGCAAAGTTGAGCAACACTTTGCTGTTCAAAGTCTGTCTCCTGCCCCTTTTCCCGCAAATAGTCACGAAATACGACAGAAGCCTTCCTATTAGCTTTTAGAGTATTGTCTGCCTTGGGAATTTTCAAACGTTTGTAAGATGTTTCTTCATTGGTTGTTTCTGCGAAACGCTTCTGGGTGCCTATAATTAAACACAATAACAACAATAAACTTTCACTTAATCTACCACAGGACTCTTCTTTATCAATAGCTGTACAAATCGGTCCAGAATCATTTGACTCTCAATCTTTACATCTGTATACAGAGTGTTTATGAACAATATTTTCAACCTGGTACAGAGCAATTTTACTGTAAGCTACGCTGCAAAAATAATTTCAATTGGTTTTTTTCAAATGATCTTGCTTCAGAGTTTAACAAGTGTTTCCTGGGACCTTGAAAACATATTTATTTTTCTGAAGCATTACAAGTATACCACATGTCTACTACTAGATAATGACCATGACCCTAATACATTTGTTGTGGTAAAATTGGTGCAATGACATGACAATTAACATATAATAGACAGCATACTGTAGAGTTTGAAATTGATACTCCAGGCATGGAATTTTTAAATGCTTTGATATGTCTTCTATGAAATCCAAATGCAAACACAACACTGTTGTAGAATAAAACATGTTGTGCAGTTTTCATTACTAACTTGTTGTATTTCAACATCACTGTCCATTAATTGTATAATAACAATACGCATTGTCATCAAATCATACATTTTTGATATACATTACAGTAATCATGTTCTGCATGTAAATTTAAGTTCAGCTGATTTTGTTTAGTAAGGAAATATACCTGTCAGCTTTTAATAGCTACCGATGTATACCAGCACAATGCAGCATTTTAAACAAAGCTTTCTTTTTCAGGTATATAACCCTTGTATGCTGCTACATGTGGTGCACAGAAGTTGGTACAACTTGTGACATATTTAAACCAATAATTACAAGTTTTTTGTTACGTTCATTTACATGGAATATCCTGATGGTGAAATATATTTGAAGTATATTTAAAATATATTAAATGTACATGTGTAATTCTGACTTTAATCAGTCCCAACCACTTGACTTAATAGGTTAACAGGGGCTCCACATAGATATATGTGTTGATTTAATTATAAGCCTTCAACAGAATAAAGAATCGCCTAAATCTATGAATTACCTACACATGTATTAGTACACATATACATTAATGGCATTCCTTCAAAAATCAACATACCCAGCAACTAGACAACTTTTAAGACATATTCTGTAAAACATTCAGTTTTATATTTCTCCTAATTTGAATCATGACACTGTTTTGCTTGGATTCATCAAATATTATTTTTTAATATCACTTATACTTCTGGCATACTGGAAAACATGAGAAGAAATGTGAGGTATGTCACCATTTGATATATATGAGATATAGTACATATTAAAGTTGACAACCTGACGCAAGAGCAATATGAATGTTCTGTAAGGCAAAGTGAAACACACATTCCACTGTAGAGTTTTCATTTCAAATAATACAATGATCACGCCTGTGTGATGTAGACAAGGACACAACAAACCAATCAGATCACACCTGTGTTATGTAGACAATGACATCCACCAATAAGATCACACCTGTGTGATGTAGACAAGGACACAACAAACCAATATGATCATGTCTGTGTGATGTAGACAGGGACATCTACCGATAAGTTCACACCTTTGTGATGTAGACAAGGACACAACAAACCAATAAGATCACACCTGTGTGATGTAGACAAGGACACAACAAACCAATCAAATCACACCTGTGTGATGTAGACAAGGATACCCACCAATATGATCACACCTTTGAGATGTAGACACGGACACAACAAACCAATCAGATGACGCCTGTGTGATGTAGACATGGACACCCACCAATAAGATCACACCTGTGTGATGTAGACAAGGACACCCACCAATAAGATCACACCTGTGTGATGTAGACAAGGACACAACAAACCAATCAGATGACACCTGTGTGATGTAGACAAGGACACCCACCAATAAGATCACACCTGTGTGATGTAGACAAGGACACAACAAACCAATCAGATCACACCTGTGTGATGTAGACAAGGACACAACAAACCAATCAAATCACACCTGTGTGATGTAGACAAGGACACAACAAACCAATAAGATCACACCTGTGTGATGTAGACAAGGACACAACAAACCAATATGATCACGTCTGTGTGATGTAGACAAGGACACAACAAACCAATCAGATGACGCCTGTGTGATGTAGACAAGGACACAACGTAGACCAACGAACCAATACATAAGTAATCACAAGTTGGTAACTAGAAAGTTGTCCCCCTTTAATCTGTATAACCTGAATAAACTGGTCAGCAAACTCTTTTTCCCTTTAATCTGTATAACCTAAATAAACTGGTCGGCAAACTATGTCCAATACACATCCCATTTAGACAGGAATACAATTATCCTCCGTACTAGGATAAGATAGCTTGCTATCCACTAGCAGATAATCAACAAGCAAGACTCTTTCTTTTAAAACATTTATGTAGTGTGAAATCATGGTACATTTGTATAACACAGCACAACACATACGAACATAAATTCATTACAATGTAATAATAAAAAAAAAAGAGAAAAGAAAAAAACTGAATTTACAAAACTATTGAGGCATTGTAACATTGGATCATTATTTAGTATGTGACATCACAATTAAAGTCTGAAAGCCATTGTTGTACAGCTTGTAAATGCATTTTAACCAATTGTGTTGAGATAGTCATGCGCGTACTTATTAAAAATAATTAACATAAATCACAATAATTATTAGTAGACTAGAACTTCATATATAGATCTAACAATAATAGTTTACATCTGGTACAACTAGTGGGACTCACAATACAGTCAGGATCTGTAACATAGTTCCTAGGTTTAACTGTATAGTTTGTAAGCTAACAGCATAAAAGGTCTGCAATTAAAATTCTTCCTGAGAAAAAAAACAATAAATACTAATAATTAAACACACCGATAAAATAACACGGCAAGAAATGATCTTAAAGAAAAAAAGTTGTGAAATATCTGCTCAGTCTTGAACACATTTATAATAAAAGCTACGAATAATTATCTACATACATGTACCCTTATTTGACAAGTATAACATTACAATGTAATGTTACTACCACAAAGATGTGTTTCAATTAATCTACAGCTTCCTAACTGCATTAGTAAATAAGTTGTAATTGTGATAGGTCCTACTTCTGCAGTCATGACTGATATTTATCAAAGACAGATTTGCTGTACTGTAATAAAACTTCATATTGGACAGATACTCTATGCTACTGAAGGGATCACAGAGGTAGACAAAATGCAAGAGACCTATAAAACATCCGTCACACTATCATCCTGTTGAAACTTTACAGGTATACATTTCATGTCGTTTGAGTGTGAACTTGCGTCCAAAGAGTTTGCCACATGAGGCACAAGGAAACTTAAATGTATGATGGTCAGTGTTATGTTTCTGTAAAAGCAAGTCACTCTTAAAGCCTTGGTTACACTGCTTACAACGGTGTTGGTCATGTACTCTTAAATGTCTATTCATGGCTTTGAAAGAATTAAACACTTTTGCACAAATTCTACATTTATAAGAATCACTGTCTGTTGGATTTTCTCCTAAACTAGTTTTAGGAAAAATACTTCTAGAATATGCACATGATGACTTTGTAACTGTGTGTGTTTTAGCACGAACATATCCTGTATATGGTGCCTTGGATATTGTAGACACGTTGCCAGAACACTGGAATTTTGATAATGTGTTTCCCTTCAGTGATCCTTTCACTAACACATTTCCTGCATGCGGTGAAGAAGTCAACATATTTTTTAACTGTGACCCTGGAGGCTCTTTTTGCAACTGGACAGGTTGTATGTTATCTCCTGTCTGTAGTGATGTTGAGTTTCCCTGTGAAACCTGTCCAAAAGTTTGTACAGGGGCAGCTTCTGGTTGAGAATAGTCCTTCCAATTATACTTATTATCCAATAAATTTTGGGCAGTGTTGTCCCATCCTCCCGTTTCTGTTAAATATCCAGGTCTGACTGGGTTTCTGTTTCTTGCCCCCATACAAGAATATTGTCCCACTGTAAAAGAAAGAAAGCGTGTCATTTCTCTCACTCTCCTGTATAGTTTAAAAACTCTATTTCATCTTTTCCTATGTTCCAAAAACCATAATTCTAAGATAATTCCTATATATATGACAATGATTTTCTAAGCTGTAAGACAAACTTTGTCTCCAAAAACTTTTTCCTATGACCAGCTGAAGTTTGTATTTAATATACTACTAAAATTTGCAAAATATGATTGCTGAAAGTTGTTGTATGTATACTGATTTCAATGTTATTTCCTTAAAAATTGCATGCTACAATGTGTGTTTTTCTTAACAAATAGTCCTTCTTTACATATATATATACAGATATATATAACCAATGAAGTAATAGCAACAGTATCGACAAGTGAATTGTCAAATTTTTGAGGCCACCTGTCTGTTTATCAAGACAAAAATATTACATAAATTACATCACATACATAGAACATAAAATAAATACAAGGTTATAAACCTATATCAAGAGCAATTGTGTAAATTTAGGCGTCTTGATAATCATTTCGGCCGATGGGCGATTTGTTCACTATAAAGGGCCTTCGGCGTCCAATCGGTTGAAGGGATTATCAAGGCACCTTAATTTACAAAACTGCTCTCGATTTAGATTTATGAACTTGTATTTGTTTTAAATTCTATGTATGTGATGTAATTTATGTAATATTTGTGTCTTGATAAAGGGGCAGGCGGCCTCGAAAATTTGACAATTACTGTTGCTATTACTTCATTGATAATATGTCTCTCCCAGTAATACACATCCAACGAACATTTGCTTGTTAAGATCCAGTGCCAATATTGGACCATATTGTCGATATTACTTACTAGATTCTACATATATATAAATATATATAAAGATGTTGTTCTTATAGAAAATCAATTCTTTGTTGGATACATGTATATTACAGTTTCATTATTAAATATGAAATTCCATATGACGACATTGCTTTGTGATATTTAAAGTAGTACCTTACATATTGGGTTCCAGTAAAAATGTTAGCCAATCTTAAGACATTAGTACATCTAATATTGTGTATATACAGCAATTCTACTGTCCACATCTCGCAGCTTGTCAATATTTTAGAATATATTTGACCACACTGACATGCATATAGCTCCTTTTTTCCATTTGACTCTGTACTTAGCTTAGCTATGCTTAAGAAAATGCCAGATTTGTATAAGAAATATTTATCAAATACTACTACACTAAACAGTACCATATCCTTAAGTGACTCACCTTTCTATTAAAAAATTACTTCATATAAAAGAACAACTTTAAATAGACTGAGAGTATCTCCATAAAAAATTGATTGACTTGTATGGGAAAGTAGATGTTACAACAGTTGAGATTTCTGGGAAAAGGCAACCTAACTTCTGAAGTTGTTAAACACCAAGGCCGAGCAGAAAGTTCTGTCAACTATATATGGACATCAATGATATGAAAGATACTGTTAGGAATATACTGAAGCATCTACTTGTAAACATATTACAGATATTTACATGAATTGAAATACAGTGTGTGTTGACAAATTTTCATATCAATTTGCAATGGGAAAGAGAAAGCAGCCAGATTAACTTAACAGGCACAGACGCTGTATGACTGACAGTGGTAGCTGAAGATTTTGGTAGACTATCTCAATGTACAGGTTCTCACTAATGCTGATAATTTGGCATGGTTGATATGAGAACACATCATTTTACAGCAAGAAATTAACTATTAAGCTTTGCTCAGATACTCAATTAAACTTAGCAGTGCAGTATATTTAGATTAAGCCAGAAAGTATATGATATTTTCTTTTGATTCAACATCCCTTCCCTCAGATTCAATTGTCAAGAATCTGAACTTAATGCCAACCATTAGAACTGAAGAGATGCTAACTTTTTAAGGGAATCTCACTTCTTAGCATCAACCACAGCTTCAGGTGCAGCAGGGTAGCTTATTGCCTCAAATAAATTAAAGTTTGGTTGAATATATAAAGTTACACTGCATGACTTGCACAATATTTCCCTACTAACCTATAGAAACGTTACCTTAAGACTTGTCCAGAGGTGAACTTTTCGGACATGAACTGCAGTGAGATTTGTAGGCAGCATGCCAGTCAAACTTTGCTCCACAGGCACAGACAAATTCTTTAAAGGACATAAGGTTCTGGCTGTGGTGGACTTGAACCATGTGGCGTACCAGTTTGAAATGCTCAGTGAAGGATTTAGAGCAGATCTTACAGGTGCTTGTGTTTGTTGCTAATGAACTTTCACCAGGTTCTTTGCACGACTTCCTGTGAGCAGCCAGCTGTGACTGATATGGAAATCCTACAGAGCAGATTTTACACTTGAATGGTCGACGACCAAAATGAACATTGGTGTGTCCGAGGTAGTGCTGTTGTTGTGCAAACTGTTTCCCACATACTTCACACTTGTATTTCTTTTTTGTGTCTGCTTTTGGAATCCAGGGAAACTGTACCGGACGACCACGCTGTACCTGTGGTGTTGGTTGTGTTTTAAACGGAGGAGCTGGTTTCCTACGGTCAGACTTACTGGCGAAATCTCGGATCAGGGTAGCAGGGTCTGTAAGTAGTTAATACACAACATCAGCTTGGGGGTCTTCTCCGTCACACATACATAACACAGCCACTGCACATATCAACCATTCCTCTCATAGACAGGCAGTCTTATCCTGAGTATTATGTCACCATAATCCATCATGTGACTACATCCTTGTATCATGTGATCAGGACATTATTACTGTACATCTTAATGCTATGACTGCATATCGTTTATCTTTCAAGACCAAAAACATGAATTGTTTATCATCTGGGTAAAATAATTGCAACAGTGAAGAAACTTCAACAATGCATTAATTCAAAACATAAATGAAGACAAACTCACTTCGTCAGAAAGGAAATACATGCAGCAAAGTTAAGTGACAATTCAAACTGACATCTTTTTCCTTCATTAAAACAGATTTACTCTACATAACAAATGCTTAAAATATTATGCTAAGCTTCAATTAAAAATAAAGAGTGTCACAGTAATATACATGTAAAATCAATATAGCATTAACAAAATCAATACTAGAACATATTTCCTTACACAAATGCTACCCAATATAGGATTTCTCCAAACTTTCAGGTGATCATTTAGAAATATTTGCCATTGGATTGAAATACTTAACATTCAATTAATTAACATAGTAGTCCAATACATATTAATGTGTCATAGATGTACCATGATCTCAACAATACATTACTATTTTTACAAATAATCACATGATTGCTGGCTCTAGCTTGTTCCAGCCTTGTTAAAATAATGGGATTTTCCAGACATCATCACATGGACATCTGATCCCAGACAAGTTATAACAATAGAATTTTACAGACATAATCACACAGACATCTGATCCCAGACAATGTATAAAAGTGGGACTTAACAGACATAATCACACGGACATCTTATCCCAGACAAGGTATAATAGTGGGTCTTTACAGACATAATCACACGGACATCTTATCCCAGACCTGGTATAATAGTGGGTCTTTACAGACATAATCACACGGACATCTTATCCCAGACCTGGTATAATAGTGGGTCTTTACAGACATAATCACACAGACATCTGATTCCAGATAAAAGGGACATAACTGACAACATAACACATTAAATCAGGTTTCTTTACTTCCAGTACATTGAAAACTTTGGCAAAATGTTTGCAACTGAAACATGTAGAAGGTTTGTCTCTCACCTATTCTTGCATGTCTTACGTTGATGAGTAAATACAAGAGATCAACATTAGGTTTCATTTCCAACTGTTAATGTAGGTACCAGTATATATTTGCCTCAAGCAGCAAAACCAACACTGCAACATTCTGAACAGAAACACGGAGAAACATTGTTGTATATAAAACAATTTTAATCAGTTTCAATATGCAATTACAATATTGGGACACTTTGCTATTTACAATTAATATATGCAAAGTACTTACAATTAAAAAAAAAAAAACAAAAACAAAAAAAAAAAACACCTACTTTTTTTTATAAGTTTAATATTGAAACATATCTAGAAATGTTTCAACAAAACATAAAATTGTTAAAAAGAAGTATTTTTATAAATTATGATGAAAACATGTCTGTGATTATATAATCTACCGGCAATTTTCATCATAAAGGAGTACAGTGGAAAACAGTTGGACGTATTAAAATTTCTCCTCATTGATTCTTTTTATTTGCCTTTTTTCTACAATCATTATTACCCTGTACTTCCAAGTGAAAAATATCCTTACATTCTGTGACATTTCTTCATTCATTTCTACTTTGAAATGAAAGGAATGAAAACTATATAGCTGACGAAGTTCGTTAGTACAATAGTCTAACTGGTTGAATATCATACGATAAGTCGTGAAAATCTCCTGAATTTTACAATGATCCGATATTCAATTCAACTCTGTGAAAATTAAGAGCATATGTAGCCCTGGAAAACTTAAATATCTCTGGTTTGTCTAATGTTCTGGTCATTTTCACTCCGTAGTCTTCAGGAAGGTTTCATATACTGATATTCTGTTCTTCCAGGTTATTCATTCCTGGTAATACTATTTATCTTACTATCTTTTCATCAGATGACAGCATACAGCTCACTACAATACTCCAAAATAGCACTATAATATCTTATATACAAATCCATCTTGCCATCAACTTTTGATTTTTTAAATCAATTATCACAGTGTTGCATTAAAAGTGTTACAAGTCTTCAGTAAGGACAATTGGTTGATTGAACTGTGTTAGACCTGTAACCTGAATATCACATATTTTTCACATTTTATTACCTCAGACAATCCATCAACCTGTTAGGTACAATCATAACAATGAACATGCAGCAAATACAGCTGGTTAGTTTTTAGCTGATTTCACCTCTGCCTCACATGGAAACTTGTGTAGCACAAAAGTGGAGAGAGATGTAAAGGACTTGCCACACTTACACCAGAACTGGATATTAGCTTCATCTGTTGTATCACCTGATGTGTCCACACTAGTGGTGGAGCCCTGTTGCTTTACATTCCCTGTTGAAGTAGTTTTCTTTTTTGTTACTGTGTCATCACCTTGTTCTGTAGAGGAATGGTGATCACCGAGCATACCAGATAACACCACCTGACGACGACACATCTCATCATCTTTCTGGTAACTTAGCACCTCTAGTCGAATGTGATCTTGTTGGACTTCCTGCTGATCAACAGGAGCTTCCTGTCCTGGATTTGTTTGACCTTCTTGCATTAATCTTGTGCTACTCCGTGTTCTCCGTCCTGATCTTGGTTGGTCTGTTAGTAAAGATTTAACTTTCATTGCTTTCAGATTCCAGCTTTCCTCCAGATCATCCATTTCTTTAATTGTCAGACTATCTCTTTTTTCTTCCATCAGAAGACTTCTTTGCTGAGAATCATTATTCTGTTGACTAATATCTGAATCATACCCAGATTGTGATTTGTCTGTAGCACATGGATCATTCTTCATCTCTTTTGAATGGATTCGAGCGACATGATTTTTCAGTCTGTTGCTATGGTGATAAATCTTACAACAGAAGCCACAGACATAGTCACGTCTCCGGTATTTTGGCTTTGCTTTATGCTTCCCAGCAACAAGCACACTGGTCCTTTTTTTCTTCCCTCCTTTGGCACTCTGCTTAATGTTTCCTATAGCTGACTCTAGTGTGCCTTCTGAGGTTTGTTCCATGTTAAACATCCCTACATATTGTCCTGGGGTGGACAGTGCATGATGGTCACTAGGATGATCAACAAGCATGCTGTAGTTGTAATCAGGGTCCCTGCTCAAGGGTTGACCTGTAGACATGCTGTACATTTCGTCTGGCTCAATGACCTCTGTCTTTATTTTCATCATGGATTTGAAAGTTGCATCACCTGCAAAATATAAAAGACACTTCCATTTAAAACACTTACAAATACACAAAACCACAAAGAATCCAATAAAAAATAATTCTTTTATGAACCTAAATTACTAATTTATTCTTTAAAAAGGAATATTCATAACACTTCCTTTTGTTACATCACAGCATATTTATAGTAAAGTAATTTTATATTAGGTGTGCTTGTAAAAATGTACGAGTTTTATCAATATAACACAATATTTTCAAAATTAATAATGATGGGAACATTTTTTCCACAGAGCCTTAATGTCGGACATAAGATATAACTTTTCAATGTGTGAAATTCCTTCTGATTTCAAAAATATTCATCACAATTTACACCACCATATATAACATGCATAACTATTTATAAGTAACATTTGTTGCGATCATACAAGTGTACATTGTGTTCAATTCTATTAAATGTTAATCATAAGATTTTAATGAAAATATTTGTCTTGTTTTTAGAAGAAAATTGACTAGCATCCAGGGTAAAAACTACAATGTTTGTTAACTACTGTGTGAATGAATCACTATAAACTGTATTTGGGAAGGGTCCATCATAGGCCCCACGAGTCTTCAGAAAACCCATACACATCCAATGTTATTAATATAATTTTCATCTAAACGATGAAAACACCACTATTGGCAGGTACAAAAAATTCAATCTATCAGAGTGACATAACCAACACTGACTTCAGAGACATCATCATTATGTAAAGTTCCAAACCACATTAAATGCACACTGAATTGTATATGGGTCAGTAAGTTAACAAAACAAAGTCTACAAAATTTAGATCATGGGATAACCAATGAAAAATATTGTTCTCTAAATTTTAACTGATTAAATAAAAAGAACAAAAGAAATGAATATACTCAAATAACTATCAAACACATGCACCTTGACTTTATTTGATATAAAACAGTACACATAATGTGATGATGTCATACATTGATGTCCTGATTAGGTACACTATCTTGTGGCTGACTGCAGTAGAGTTGCTGGTCACTAGGGCTGGACTGTTGAGTTACGAGATTGGAACGTTTAAATTTAGCCCGTGTGTTTGCAGCTGTCACCTTATTCCTAAGGGCTTCTTTGACTTGTGCTCTGGTGTTGCTACTAACACTGATACAGAAATCTGAAAATAAAAAAAAATATCAAAGGACTATGAAAAGTGTAACTTGCAACGACACAATGCAGCCTACCTGGCACAACAAAAGTATGGTTTTAAAACAAACTGTTCTTGCTATTTATCATGGTAGGTCTTTTAAGCGAACAAATAACATTTGAAACGAAAAAAAAAAAAAAAACATTGACGTAGGAAGTCAAAATTTATTTTCTACTTTCAGCATCTTATTTTAATCCTTGGTAGTGTTGCTGGGAAGAAAAGAAATCTATGCCTCATAGAAGAAGTCTTTGAAAAAAATCTTATTCGGAACTTTCCTATAATATCAGGAGACCTGAAAGATGGTACTTTTGTTCTGACATCATATAATTCTCATTAAATTCATCCAACTTTACATTCAGGAAGCACTTATTTATCAACAATCAATAACAAGTTAAGGTAAATATCAATTCTCACAGTCATCTGCTCTACCCAGAAAGATGGCAACTGCCTCCTATGCACTTAGTTGTTATTGAAATTGCATTATATTTAAGGAGGAAAAATGTGTTCCTTGATAAAAACGCTTCCACTCAAGCAAATGATTAAATAGACATACTAATGTAAGAGCCTTGTGAGAGTTACAACAAAGATTTGGCAATCCCAATAGGAACAGCAGTGACTGTGGTTTAATTCTTACCTAAGATGGTGGACAGAAGATTGATGTCTAGTGGTACAAGCTCTTTATTCCTTGGTGTGGGTGTGATGGTGCGTCCAATAAGTTCCTTTTCTGACCAGAACAGACTCATCACATATCGAGCCATCTTGGTACCATCCCTAACTGTCTGGCCTTGTTGTGCCGACATCCTACGGTCAACACCATGTTTCATAGCCATATCTTTATCACTTTGGTACACATAAACTTTGGACCCTGGCACCAGCTCAACCATCTGTAAAGAAATTGCCAGATTTTTTTTTCAATATTGTTAATAAAATAAGATTTGTGAGCATTATATGGATATTGGTAGTTCCACAATGCATAACCAAATAAAGAGTTTAGTATGACTCTAAGAAATTATCAGAGTACTCTATTACTATCAAATAAATTGCATTTTGTGTGGAGAAGGTAACAAACGGTTGACTGGTAATGCTACATTTATTCTAGATCTCACATTAAACTAAATATGGAATATTTTTTAATGTCTCCTTGTTTGATCTAGATAATTTTTTGTAGCAGTTTAGCATACCATAATGTACAACTTATTTAAATTTAAATCTATCCCTTGAACATGATGTTGATAATGATTTTGAAATGCGCTTTCATAAAAACAAACTCTCACCTGGCATTTTGCTGCTATTTCAGGATCAACATAGCCTCGCCGAGGCAACGAGGATGGCGTACTATTCACCACTGCCAAAATACAATTTAATCACCATTTTTGAAATTGATAACTCATTACTTAGACCATCTTTGGCAGTCAAGAGATAACAGGTTTATCTTATCTATAAGAATGAGGATCATTCAATTTTCAGTTCATATCTGACCTCAACATCACCTTTTGGATTCAGCCTACTTGATTTCATTTCATATCATATGCATCCAACTGCTAAGATTTCAGATCAGGAAAATGATAATTACCTTGAACAAATATGATAATGGTGTTTGACGATTAGTTATAACTAAATAAAGGGAGATTACTCTTAGACTATGAATACAGATACACACCAAACCTGGGTCGAGGTAGCCATTGATCCTGGTATGTGTCTGTTGGGTGGAAATCGGTGGAGACAGACTTTCTGGAAACACTACTATCCTGACTGGCCAAACTAAAGCTGTCTGTCATCCCTCCTAGACCTGGAAAAGATATCCTTCTATAAATAGCATAGTCTTGCAATCCTCTGCGGCAATTTACATCTCCATTACAATATCATTACATGTATTTACATTCTAAAACTGCTACCGCTGGTTTCATCTGATTAAGAGCAGTTTTTTTTTTGTACAATGGTATGACTTCTATTTACAGCAAGTGTTTGAATTCTTTTCATTTTATGTGGTCCTTCTCAATGAAGAGTGTAAATGGTATTAAACATGTTGAGAGTTTAAAAATTCAGTTTCGGTTGAACACATTGCTGGCATTCCGGATAGTGTGATTCACATAGTAATGTCTACCTAAGATGTGGCAAGACTAACAAGATTGTATAAAGACCTGAGTGCTGAGTTTGACAAAGGGGTACATGTGTATTTGACCTTGGTAAGACCTCAAGTATACATACCTCATAGGTTTCAGCATCCAGGTACGTGAAAAAACTTCCGCATCAAACCGAAGATTTCTAAATAATATCATGCAAATGCATGCATAAAAAACAGTGGACATTTTTCCAGTTGAAAAAAAAACAAACAAAAATCACCTTGTATTGTATAGTGCAGTTTCAGTAGTTTTAGATATCAGTTCTTGACAAGAAACAAAATGAATAACACATAAACCAAACACAAATGGGACAGTCCTGAAAATTTTATAAAACAAGGTTAGATTTAAACTTATACATGTAGGTGGTTGTTGATTATGAAGTATTCAGCTCATTTAGCTTTCATTGTATTTCAGTCAAATTCTTACTGAAATTTTGACAAAACAATCATTTTACTGGTTCAATACAGCCACTGGACATAGAAAATTACATGTACTATATATATACAACTGTATATTATATATGTATAACATTTGTTTCCCCAACACCTCTAGTTCACTGTTAATCTGAGGAATATTTCCAAACTATGATTTTCAAGACCATCATGATACACGGATATCAAATGAAAAATCTCCGATACCATTTTTTCTTTTCAGTTGATAATTATATACTGGTATGTTACAACTGTCTACACATGACCAATTCTGATAAAGGGGGATAACTCAGTAAATACTACATACAAATATGAGAATGGCAGGCTTTTGTGAAACGTTTATATCTATTTGTAAATATTAAGATCTTAAAGAAAACTATTCTAAATTATCAAAATAAAATTAAAAAAAAACAGGTGTAAGTGCTTCAGATTTCATTTTCCTGTTTCATCAGACTGAGGACTGAAGTCTTCACTTTCAACATTGGTTATAGTACTTTCATTTTTTGGAAATTTTTTTGGTTGAAACATTGTTACCTTGCATTTGTCTTTTCATAAATTGTATAGAAAGTAAACGTAAACTGGACATTTATACCTACCATCAATACATCGTCCACTTCTAGCAGCCAGGTGACCGATAAACAGCGATATACCAATGTTTCATATCTTCATGCAGAGCTTCATATATCAGCTCATGGTCCAAGAAAGGTGACAATTTGTCTCAGGTTAATTCTTATCAACTTGATCGGATGTATGTCAAGTTCTGTATTACCCATTAGGCATATGAATGAATATATAATATTACAACACGTCAATGTTAATATTGACATATTTTCTACACAAGTTAAGGATAAGGTCATTCATTGGCAAGTGAATCACATGGAAACAAGGAAATTTTAACTATTAAAACAATTTGATTAATTTGTAAAGCACAGAAAAATCACAACCCATACAATACGTTACATCTGAGTGTGTGATAGTATTTTTTGTTCAAATATCACTGCATGAACACCACACTTTCGGATTTTTCGGTTAATATTGTAAATGTTTCATGTTTAAAATGATTAACATTCGGATGTTAAGGACAGAATTTCGTTTGACTATGAAGGCAGCTCCTTATTCTTATTCAACACAGAAGTTACCAGCATACAACATATCGCTATTTTAAGTAACAGTACATTCTAGATAATGCAGCACAACAACACTAGTGACAGACCAATGAGATGAACAGTGAGCATCCATTGGCTTCCTCTCTTAGTACCTCTTGAGTGCAAATCACCATAAGCAATGAAAATATAAACAAAATGTTTAGAACTTCTTAATTGCTTTATTTTCATCAGTGCAATACATACAATAAGATACAGAAACTTTTTACATTAATGAGATCCTGCAAGCTTACAAATCAATACTGCAGGATTAAAACATTAAGACTTCAATTCAATTGTACTGCCATTTACAAATGTGTTTGAAAGAGACACTTTTCCTGTATACTGACAGCCAAACTAAAGAAAACATTACAGTTCTAACTTTACATGATGCTGAAAATATTACACAAATGTACAGTAAAACATGTTTTATTTGATACAAGTATACACCAATAATGAAACTCAGAAGTTTACACAAATAATCACACTCAAAAGTTCACATATTTAAGGGATATCTTCTCTTATGATTTCAAAACATTCACAAATGTCAATATGGATCAATATTGGAATGTTGTCAGTTTGTAATACTCTAATTGCAACAATTTTCTTAAGTTGTCACTATCTTGAATTAAAAAATTCTACCTCCTTGATAGCATGCACCAAATTTTAAAAGAGAAATCTGTCCACAATGGCTATGGGCCAGTTGTAGAGTGTTGGTAACTGTCCTCAACTGATAGCAGATTTACTGTGGGATAGGTAAACCATATGCAGCTTCTATTGATAACATTCTAGCATCATCATCCTGCAAAGACAGAAATATGGCACAGTCTTACAAAATAAGGATAGTCAAGGTTAAATTCTCAAATTTCAATTCATGAAGACATGTTGATGTTCTATAATCACAGATTGAAGATGACCTGCTACATGTTCATCAACAGAGTATCTCAATGATAACTTTTCTAATTATTTTTTTATAAAAAGATGCCTATAAATATTGACAGGCCGTACTTACAACAATCCTAATAACTACTGTTCCACGGTAGTTCAAGGCCTTATAATGGAGAGGTCTGAAAGGTGCCTGATGAAGCAGTCGATCCTTGCCAATTGTGAACAGCCGAAAGTTTTTGTCCACCAGCACTGGATACAAGGCCTGAAGCTGCTGTTTAAACATGGCTTCTGTCAGATTTAGTTGTATAACATGTCTTTCCATAGCTTTTCCCTCAGCCTCTGGCTTGTTTTTGTAGTAGATAGAAGGGTATCCTGTAGAAATCATAGTACATAATGTATCATTTAAACACTCATATAACATTGTTTTAATTAGATACCAACTAGAGCAGTTTTCTGTTCAATTATTTCAGAACATTAAGTAACCATTTCAATATTTAATTTCTACTAACTGAGATATTGCAGCCCACACAATTACCCCCAACATTGTAATAACATCAGACCTACCATATCCCTGTTGCTGGTGTAATGCAATGACTGGGTCATTCTTTGTCAGTTTGGGCATGGCAGTGCCCCTTGGAAGTAGATAGAATGACAAACGAATGTAGGCAGCTGGTTTTGGACCTCCTTTGCGTTTTGGATTCAGCATCCTGAGTTGACTTCTGTGAATTTGTTGCATCATTAAGTGTTTTGACCTCTTCAATGCATCACCCACAAGCCTGGATGAATTACTATAGAACTCTGGTGTCATGTTATCTATAAAAAGAGACAAAAATATAAGTGGTACAGACAGCTATGTAAAACATGGTAATCAATAATACTGTCTTACAACATCTGGTTTTTCTCATCAGATAGGTAAGAAAATTTTGGCCATTCAATACAATATTACCACTGTATTGCAATGAAACGTTTATAACTCAATTCTTAATTTTTAAAGTTCTATAAAATATTGACCTGAACTTATACTTGTAGCTATATCAGTGTACTGTGTAGTTCACTTTAACTGTAGAAATATGATACTAACTTTATACTTGAAACTTCAAAGCAATAAAAAAAAAACCAAAAGAATTCAATATTTCAAATTATAAAAGTTATGTGAAGGTAAAAAGAAATTTACTTACAAGTCAATGTCTTGTGCTTCTTCTAAGTTTACAATTTCAGACATCATGAGAAGACAAAAGATGCCGATATAAAATAAAGCGTGTAACATCCGTTCTATATGTAGGGACTGTGATATTCTGTGCATCTGTATTTCATTTTATGAAAACCATAATTTATCATATTGATTCACTGTTTTCACATTTCCCAATGAATGACAATTCCTCATACATGATTTATGTAAATTGGGACCTTCAAAAAGCTTCCAGCTGATTCAGAATTCAGTTTTCATTTGCAATAACATTAATGACAAACTGAATTCCAATGCAACGAAATCTTCTTTCAATAAGTATTCCTCAACAATTCCTATGAACATGTATAGTCATATGATGTTCCTAAGTCTGTTCTTTTGTTGAAATTTGAGAATTAAAATGAAGGTCTCCACCTATTGTAACTGCTGACTTGTATGGCTGCAAAGAACCCACAGTATATAGCTAGTCACATACATCAAGAATATAGCCAGTCATATACAGAAAGTACAATCAGTACAGATGTACCCCTTTGCCAAATTTCTATCAAGAAGTAAAATACTTCAAATGCAGTTTGATAAAAATGTATGCATAGAAAAATTTTCAAATTCATTAATTTGTATGTACATGTATGTAAAAAACACACTTCTTCTAGGTCAGCCTATTGCAATAACATAATTTTCACTTTACTACCAGTAAACTATATATAGCTACAAGCATATAATTAGTAGTGTACATTCTAGATGTAATTAGAAAATGTATACATACTTGGATTTGCTAATATTTACATGTACATCTGTCTAGCTGTCATGGTAACCAGGATAATTTCAAATGGATTACAAAATGTTAATTTGCATCACTTAATCAGTTAAATCTAGAACCATATCAAACTGGTTCAGACATACAGTGAACGTAAAAACATACAGTCGAATGACAATGAATTTTTCTAGTTACCAGTAACATACACTTACTTTCAACTTTAATTAGCACTGTACAGTAATGTGCATGCTATTTCAATCGGATATTATTTATAACATAATGACACAAGAGGAACTATGACAAACGATAACCAACATATGACATGATATGTATTAAACAACATTAAAATAAAGCCTCAAACAGTCTACATGTATTGTCTTCTGACTGTGAGTTCACTGACTTACAATCAGTAAAATAAAACGTTGGTTGTTGTTGTTCTCTGCTCATTTTTATTTGGAAGTCACGATACAAACATAACATTCAAGTAAAATGCTATTCAAACTGCAAAATCATCAGTATCAAATAATAATACAGCATCAACTTGCTCGCTATAGTGTCTGGACTCACTCTCAAGATCTTATTATACTAAGGAGAGAATTTTCTTTAAATATTAAGGTGTGTTCAGAAGTTACAGTTCTGTGCAGTTAAAGGTAAAATTTATTTGTAAAATTTTTCATTTATCCCTTTTTTGGTTGGCAGCAAATCTTTAACTCCATGAAAGTGTTCATGTTATAGGGTAGCAGTACACAGTTTCTCGGTGTGGCCATGGGTGATTTTTTTGCTCATTAGATTACCCCATTATAAAGGTTTTAATTAAAAATGAAAAAAAAAATCCTTGCTAAAATTGGTCCTGTCATGTTAAAGTGGACAATGTGGGGTTTCATTTTTTTCAGGATAATATTTTAGCTTTGTGTTGGAGATTACTATTTGGGCAGTCTCGAATCTGTGTCTACGCACCAAAAACTAGCTTTACAGGAAGTGAAATTTTCATAGTGTTTACATGTGGTCATGTTATGAAGAATTTCCGAGTTGGAATTTGCTGAAATGTAAGTACTTTGTTACCACGACAGTGTTGTTGATTGTAAGATAGGTGATTAGAATTAAATTTCTCCTAGAAAGTTGTAGTGTTGGATTGGAATTAGCAGTATTTTTGCATTTTTAGCATTTTTTCAGTAGGTAACCATGACAATCAAATGTCAGAAATCAGAGGAATTTTTTTTTTACACAAATTTCATCTCTCTACTGTTAATGTAATTGTTATACAGTTTATAAATATATATACATGTAATGATGTATTTTTCATAACCAATCTGCTATACCTGTATATCTCAAACATGACAAATAATTTCAGGAAAAATGCAAATTAACTGTTTACTGCTACCTTATAGCACATTAAAAAAAATTAATCTATTTAAAATGTGCTTTACTATGTTTAATTAAGTTTAATCCTTTCCATAATTGCTATAAATACATAAAAAACACACTGAAACTTGTTCATAATGATTTTATTTTAATTTCATCAGGGGTGCATAAAGGGAGGTAATTTGGGTGCTCTTGTGGGTGAGAATTTCAGCTGTTTTCAAAAGGCTTGGTATCAGTTTGAAAACTGTTCTACAGTAGGTAACAGGTATGAAATAAGTCAGTAACAACCTTAGAATGTATTTAGACTGCATTATAGGGCAATTCCAATAGTTTAAGGTGTGGTATCCATGGTAACTAAGAAGGAAAGTATGAGTTTTTGAATTTTGGATAAATTCTCTGTTTTGATGATTTTTACTCAATAATGTGTGTGTATTTCTCATAGATTGGGCATACAATCATGTTAATATTGTCATAAAATTACATTTCCATAGTTACTGCT